TCCATCAATCCTTGGATTAACTGTATTGGCATGGGGTAACTCGATGGGTGATTTAGTGTCAAAATGTTGCATTGGCAATGAATGGTGGGGATGGTATGCAGATCACTTTGTCTAGATGCTTCCCTTCTTTGAGGCTTGATAGTAAATATGGAGATTATAACAAATTATAGCAATATGTGTAATTGCTGAAAAAGGAAAGAACGACTAGGTGACCAAGCAGAATTCTTTAGGAAAATGATGTGCCGACTCTCCAAAATCTGGTCAAGTAGCCAACCATAATGGCCAAATACAACATAAATATTTCAACAATCTTTTTTTATTGCCAAAACGTATTTTGTTATTGAGATTCTAAAAATATTTGCATGTAACATAGGTAATAATTATTTAAAACATCAGAAATCACAATAGGTTGTATATATATTTTTTTCATATCAAATTTTTCTTGACCTTTTCACAGGTGTCATGCATTCAATAAGTCAAAAGAATCCCAAACAAGAATTGCACCCATTTTGGCATTGATCCACTCACTCACCTGGTTAACCCCTAGTCCATTCTAGGTTCATAAAGAATGAATACCAAATTAACCCAAAAGTTATATTTTGCCAAATTGCATTCTTGGTTTGTTTGTAGCCCTATGCAAAAAGCTATTTAACGAGCTCAGTTAAAATTACAATAAGTATGAGGTCAGACCAACATTCACAAACTCAATAGGCAAGCTAAACTTAGGCACCTCCATCCAAATTCTACAAAGGCAAACTTTAACAGCCCAGTTACCAGTTCAACTCAACTTATTTGTATGGAACACATAAAACATACCCATAGGTAACATGCCTTTTGACTCCACCATCTCGGCATGAGCTTGAGCTGCTTCAGTTTTAATTTGTGAAAAATAGCTTCATGCTCAAAAATTGAAAGAGGAACACCATTTTTTTGCAATGACAGCTTTGGCCACTTTTTCCTTCATCTTCTGCTTCAATTGTTTCTCCTGTACATATTATTAAATTTAAAATAAAAGTACTATAAAAGACATTATTCTATGCTCCCAAATTCAGAAGCCCATAGTTTTTTTCTACCTTATGCTTTGCAGCAACAACTCTTTCTTTTGCTTCCTTCCCTTTTCAGCAAATTTTGAATTCTGGTCTTCTATCCAACTCCTTATTTTTCTGCAAGGAAAAATTATGTATTTTCCCACAACATTTTGTGATGCAAAGGGGCAAAAATTGAAGACTTGAACAAAGAAAAGGTGAAACCTTATAACTTATGCAGTGCAAAAAATTCATCACAAAGAAAATTTAATAGTCTATGTCACACCCCAAACCAGGGTATGACCGGTCGTGGCCCATAGGACCCTAGCCCATAGAATAATTGTAACAATAGTCCAGTAAAAATAAATCAAAATTCAATCCAATGACATGTCACCAGTATGCATGGCAAAACAAGCCATAATCAACTTTCAAAAATATATACTAAATGGGACACAACTCGCCTACAAAATAAAATAATTTTAAATAAAATTCAACCACAATGTATGCACAAAACCGACATAACAAGCTAAAACAAAATGTATGAATGCCCTAGAGGTCCATGCAATTGAGTCCTTGTCCACTCTAAGTCCTTCTAATACCTGGAAATGATAAACAACTAAGTCAGCTAATAGTTTAGTGAGTAAAAACATAGATAGTAAAAACTGTTTTGAAAACAGAGTCCAAATCCAAAATAAGATATATATCACAGAAACTAAATTGACATATAGTTTTCATGAAGATAATCTGTTTCAGAAAGAAAGTTTCACAGGTCAATAGTTAAAATACTCGTGTCTCTCAAGAACATAATAAATGACATTCTCCACTTAAAAAAAGAATATAACATGATCATTAATAATTTTTTGGGTACCAAGAATAACAAGTAACATGCCACAAAGTTTTCAAGGCAATAAGCCCGTTGGATCCAATATCGAACCAAGAGTCATCCTCGGGGTGGCAACCCGGGCCTTTTCTCTAAGATGATCCGATTGAAGGTCACCTAGCCTAACCCAGGTCTTTTGCTTACAATCATTGAGCACTAGAGTCATCACAGCCCAACCCGGATCTATTCCCTAGTGGCTAAAGTCACCACACGCAGTGGAATAATTTCCCTGGATTTTTATATACAGATGGTCTCAATAATCAATACAATTCAGTTTTGCAAAAACATGGTAGTTCACCATTATAAACATGAGACCATAACAAATAGTTTACAGTATGCCAAGTTTACACATGTTTTAGATTCCATTGATAATATAATAATTTATCAAAACAGTTTAGTACTGAAACAACAATTTAATTTTTCAACAGTTCAGGATAGGGGAACATTTATAAAAATCTGTAACATGCAACTACTCACCTAAACATGGAATAATATAATCCTCAAACCGAATAGGAAAGTCCAACTAGTGCCTTGGACCAAGTACAAAAACTACATGTCACTACTAACTCAAAAATACTAAAAAGAATAAGAAACTAAGTAACCCCAAGCTAAATCACACTATCATGGCTCAACCCAACTCACCGTTACAATTAAATAATACCTAAGTTCATGTTCTTCAAGGTCTAAGATTACCCAAGACATAGGTTCAGATCGAAACTGAATTAAAAGTAACTGTAAGATAAAACAGAATTTTAAACAAGTTTTTCCAATCTATTTGCTAACTTTGAAAATTAAAACCCTACTCCATGCTATTAGAAAAATTCCAAAACCCTCCAGATATCAACTAATATATTCTAACTTTCAAACCCAATTGGTTTTACCTGATTTGCTTATCAAAATAATTATTTACAATTAATTATATCCAAACAGGTCGCTTTTTGCAGCACTTTAAAGAAATCAATGGTTCTCTTTGTATACACAAGCAATCAATGCAAGACCAAAAATGTAAGAAACTAGACTTGTAACCGGTTCTAATTATGCTAATTTGATAATTTTCGGATTTGTACCCAAAGAGAACAACACTTCCGAAGTTACTGTTTTACACTAGTTTTTTGGACAGATTTGAACGCATCAATTTATATGGATTTTGACTCCCAAAAATTATAAGAAAATTCCTGCAATTCAATATGTAATTAATCTATTGTAAAAATTTTAGTTTAAAATTTATCCGTTTGATATGGTTTCTTGATTTTTAAAGTTTGTGTTTGTGTGCAGAATTTTTGGACTAAGAATTACACCCATTATTTCTCATCACTAACCACTGACTTGGCACCCAAACAACACACCTGTTTCTCCTATTCCTTCCCAACAACAAGCAGATTACACACATGAACCATCACAATATATAAATATAATAAAATAGGACAATACCTTAGAGTTGTTGACCACCAATGTTGCTGAAAGTTTCTCTCCGATCTCTCTTTTCTCTTCTCTCCCTCTCTCTCCCCCTCACGGCTGCTTCTGTTAGGAGAGCTAGGGTTGATTAAAATTATAAACACAAAATCTCTAGGGTTTACCTTCCCTAATACATATAACCAACCATCCAACTTAATTATTATTATTAACCTTTAATATTATGTGTTTGAAAATTAATTAAAATATTCTCTAATAGTATTTAATTTACACTTAAAGATTCACAGTAAAACATTTGAGGTTTGTAAAATTATTATTATTTACGTATTTATTTATTTTTTATTGGGTTCTCATAGTCTAAGCATTTGTTAGGAGTCTAAACTATCATAATCATCAGCTTCCCCACCAAACCGCTCCAACTTCAGCTTTTTCAATATAGAAGGGGATCTGGAGGTACAATTTTGTAGGGAATTCAGCCATGAATCTTTGCCAACTTTTGGAGTTATCACTGGAGAGCTAAACAGAGAACACAATAAATATGAGAATATTTACCCACTACAAGGAATTTGATTAGCTACATGAGTTTAGTGCAGAGGTTTATAATTCTCTCCCAACTCCTTTTGCATCAGAGTCAGCATTCGGATGTGAAAATGGACAACTGGAGATAATTTTCCTCTGACCCACGACCCCCATGTATTAGTTCATAAAGTACATCTTCAGGCTCCCCTTCCTTCAAATCAAGAATCTATCAAAGGAGAATAGGCAATGTAAAAAGTGAGATAAAAAACAACATGCTACTAAAAGCTTGATTTTGTTACTAATCTACAAAAGTATTATCAATAAAAGAGAAACAAGGCAGCAAATCAACCAAACATTTCAGTAGTAAATGGGGTATATTTATAGCCACTGTCCATCAAAATCATATCAGTAAAAGCTTAACAAATATGCGAAGTACAAAGAATAACAGGCACTACTAGTCATCAGTGTTATGTACCTCATGTTTCAGAACAGTTGAGTGACAAGAACAGGATAACCGTAAACATAAAAAAACTTAAAATAGAAAAGATGCATAGTAAAACATCAAAGTGAATGCAAATTGTGCTTTATCTATGGACCCGACTAAGAACTAGAAATGTTCTCTGTTATATCACTTCTCTCAACTAACAGAGCATATACCATTATTCAACAACTAGTTTTACTGGAGTGGTTGAAATGCCAAACACAACCTTGATACTGCATGTAATATCAACAGATGCTAAGTTGCAGTTTTTTCCTGCTACAAAAAGATGTAAAGTTAACTTGCCTCATCAAAAGCAGCACAGAAGCTTTCGGTGGTAGGTCAATCCCAGCAACAGTTGTCAACTCAGTGCCCTGAGGCAATGGGATGTCCAGATCAATATCTTGGTTTTGGAACTTCATAGCATTTGTTTGTTTTCTGTAATGCCTTCCTTCTTTATTCTTTTCATGTTTAATCAGTTTAGATGAAACTCCCTTAGAAATCCTTGTTTCCAGGTTCTTTTCCTCTTCTACAACTCCAACTGTTTGACTAGTTTTGACCTCTTTCTTGGAGACTCCATTAGAAATTCGAGACTTTTTGGTACTAGTCTCCTTCAACATAATCCCATCAATCATGTTGCCTTCTTGTATGTGTTGGCCCAACGTCAACGCCTTTTACAATCTTTTTAATACCAAATTTTCAGGGCCTTTAGCATGAAGAATCTCTGAATAGAGGAAAAACCAGTTGTCCTGGCTGTGTGCAAAGCATACCAGTGGGTTGGTGTCCTTGCTTCTTCCTGAAAAGAAAATAAATTGAGATTCACCACCAAAATACTTAAAATGCCAATGAAAAGTAGAAAAGTTAACAAAATAAACACTAATCCGCAGAAACTGCAGTTGCAGATGCCTCTGCACTTCGGACAATTTCAGTCCTCCAAAAATGTCGCTTCTTCTATTTTTTCTCCGTATCTGTTCTAAGATCAGACACATCTAAGCATGGAATACAATACAGAAACATTCCAACTCCTCATATACACATATATATATTGTTAGGTTTTTATTCTTGGCAACCCCATTTGACAAAATTCCTTTAAGTTGTATTTGTTTTCGCACTTTTTATTTTAGTGAGGCTATGAGTGTTTAGATGCGAATCCAATCCGAATTGTGCCTTGCAGAGAAGTTTGTGATGTTAATACTTTCAAGATTTCCACTTCACTGATTATGACGGGGATCGAGCTGCTCGGTCAGCTCGCGGGGGTCCAGGGGGCAGCGCGCCACGGCGGGGGCCAGGGGCAACGCCCCCGAAGCAAAATGCAAAGTTGCATTCGAAGTTGCATGTCCACCCTTGCTCGCTCGAGCGAAGGAGTGCTCGCTCGAGCGAAGACTAAATCTAGTAAAAAGCTTGAAAGAGATGAATGTGCGCTCGAGCGAAGCTTGCGTGGTACCTGCACCACACCTTCAAAGTTACTAGAAGCAATCTGGCTTTTGATATAACTATTCCAACATATACTGCTCAGCTTTGACCTACTGACCAATTCAACTACAGGATAATGGATATCACGATCTTCATTCAAAATTGTGCCATATTCAAATATTTTGATCTTCTTATTCACGCCAGCAGTCGCAAAAAATTCGCCATCGCGATCGAAACTCAGAGAACATACTAGATTGGAGGTATTTAAAAGATCCCCTTGCTTCAAATCTGCTTTAACTTTTAATTTACTGAAAGACAGATACTTGCACAACCCCTCGAGGAATGAATTTATCCATCCACTTTGTCTAGCTTCACTAAACTGGTCATTCAAGGGCAAATTATTGACAGAACTTCTTTCAGTAACAACAATGGACCCTCTACCATCACTGCTTACTGGAGACTGTCGAGTTAACGATTTCCCTGTTGGCTTTACAGGCCTTTGTCTTGTCAAAAAATAAGCTGACTCCAGTTTCTTAAAGTTCTTCATCAATCGAGAACTTTTTGAGAGAATACTTCCTTGATTCTCAGCTGGAGCTTCTGAATTCTGACCTTCATGTAGATGACCACCATATTCCGATGCATTATGACTCTGAAGCCCTTGTCTGTACCTCTTTCTAGACCCCGAGCAACTAGAATCTTCATTTTCAACAAATTCCATTGAAGGGGGACCAGAAGCAGAATCCTTGCCCAGTTCTGGACAAGAGCACCCTTTTCCCCAAAGAATTGACTGCTGCTTTGAAACTTCATCTATATCAGAAGATACAAGGGAAATTGTATCTTGCAACTTATCTGCAGCTTCCTGTTTTCTTTGTTGTATCAGCAAAAGGCATTCCAGCAACAACTCCTGCTCCTCTATTCCCTCCCGAAGCTCTATTGCTGCTTCACGTTCTTCTATATTCTCTCTTGGTTCATTCAGAAAGTTACTTTGTAACAACTCACTGATGTACATGGTAAGAGAAAATGAAAGAAAAACTATCCAATCCCATGTGCAACCTCTCAAGAAATTGATACATTAATTCTATGAATAAAAAGTACAACATATATAAAATACCTCAAGTAGCATGTGAAGAAGTAGAAAGGAAAAAAAATCCCAACAAATTGAGAGAGCCAACAACTATTGGAAGCCCTTCCCATTACTTCAAAAAGAGAAGAAAAAAAAATGCTTACCACTTATTGCTAGTAATTTTGTACTAATAAGCTTGATTGCTTCAAATCGCTTATATAAGCACATTAATTGTTCAGGCAATGATAATAAGAACAGAACAAAATATAGCAGCACTCTCAACCCATGCCATGATAATTTATATATGTGCACATACATGTATGTATTTATAGATATATACCTTCACATTTGTGTGGCCGGTGAATGAGTGAAGAGGACTGTCAAGAACCCGGGATGAGGCCATTGACAAATCCCAAAGCTTCAGTGTGTTGTCTGTCGATGCAGAAACAAGATTTGTTGAATCTATGAACTTCACGTAGCTCACAGTTTTGTTGTGTCCAATCATTGTACACAGTGGCATTTTTGTGTTACGGAGATCATAGTAATAAATTCTATGATCCGCTGAACCAAATGCAAGGTAACGACTAGAATCAACAGGAAACTGAACACAGCAGACATTGGCCTTCGTTTTGATGGTACCAACACTTACTCCCTGCAGTAGCAACCCATGTAAGAGAAACAACTAATTATACATCCAGAATAAAATCTACACAGCAATGGTAATTAGATGACTGCAGTACGTTTAGTTTCAAAGCTGACATCCACCAAGTGCAAAAATAGAATTGCCTGATTGATATTCCAGAGCTTAACAGAACCGTCATCACTCCCGCTGGCCAACATTGTTGGATCTGCTAATGAGAAGTCGACAGACCACACGCGCCTTTCATGCTCTCTCATTTCCATAAAAACTTGACTTCTTGTAACATCCCATACCTGAAGATATGTTAGATAAACCACTTATTGTCATTACAAAATACAGAAAGCGTATAAGTAAATGAGATGAAAGGCTTGACCTACCTGCACCACACCTTCAAAGTTACTAGAAGCAATCTGGCTTTTGATATAACTATTCCAACATATACTGCTCAGCTTTGACCTACTGACCAATTCAACTACAGGATAATGGATATCACGATCTTCATTCAAAATTGTGCCATATTCAAATATTTTGATCTTCTTATTCACGCCAGCAGTCGCAAAAAATTCGCCATCGCGATCGAAACTCAGAGAACATACTAGATTGGAGGTATTTAAAAGATCCCCTTGCTTCAAATCTGCTTTAACTTTTAATTTACTGAAAGACAGATACTTGCACAACCCCTCGAGGAATGAATTTATCCATCCACTTTGTCTAGCTTCACTAAACTGGTCATTCAAGGGCAAATTATTGACAGAACTTCTTTCAGTAACAACAATGGACCCTCTACCATCACTGCTTACTGGAGACTGTCGAGTTAACGATTTCCCTGTTGGCTTTACAGGCCTTTGTCTTGTCAAAAAATAAGCTGACTCCAGTTTCTTAAAGTTCTTCATCAATCGAGAACTTTTTGAGAGAATACTTCCTTGATTCTCAGCTGGAGCTTCTGAATTCTGACCTTCATGTAGATGACCACCATATTCCGATGCATTATGACTCTGAAGCCCTTGTCTGTACCTCTTTCTAGACCCCGAGCAACTAGAATCTTCATTTTCAACAAATTCCATTGAAGGGGGACCAGAAGCAGAATCCTTGCCCAGTTCTGGACAAGAGCACCCTTTTCCCCAAAGAATTGACTGCTGCTTTGAAACTTCATCTATATCAGAAGATACAAGGGAAATTGTATCTTGCAACTTATCTGCAGCTTCCTGTTTTCTTTGTTGTATCAGCAAAAGGCATTCCAGCAACAACTCCTGCTCCTCTATTCCCTCCCGAAGCTCTATTGCTGCTTCACGTTCTTCTATATTCTCTCTTGGTTCATTCAGAAAGTTACTTTGTAACAACTCACTGATGTACATGGTAAGAGAAAATGAAAGAAAAACTATCCAATCCCATGTGCAACCTCTCAAGAAATTGATACATTAATTCTATGAATAAAAAGTACAACATATATAAAATACCTCAAGTAGCATGTGAAGAAGTAGAAAGGAAAAAAAATCCCAACAAATTGAGAGAGCCAACAACTATTGGAAGCCCTTCCCATTACTTCAAAAAGAGAAGAAAAAAAAATGCTTACCACTTATTGCTAGTAATTTTGTACTAATAAGCTTGATTGCTTCAAATCGCTTATATAAGCACATTAATTGTTCAGGCAATGATAATAAGAACAGAACAAAATATAGCAGCACTCTCAACCCATGCCATGATAATTTATATATGTGCACATACATGTATGTATTTATAGATATATACCTTCACATTTGTGTGGCCGGTGAATGAGTGAAGAGGACTGTCAAGAACCCGGGATGAGGCCATTGACAAATCCCAAAGCTTCAGTGTGTTGTCTGTCGATGCAGAAACAAGATTTGTTGAATCTATGAACTTCACGTAGCTCACAGTTTTGTTGTGTCCAATCATTGTACACAGTGGCATTTTTGTGTTACGGAGATCATAGTAATAAATTCTATGATCCGCTGAACCAAATGCAAGGTAACGACTAGAATCAACAGGAAACTGAACACAGCAGACATTGGCCTTCGTTTTGATGGTACCAACACTTACTCCCTGCAGTAGCAACCCATGTAAGAGAAACAACTAATTATACATCCAGAATAAAATCTACACAGCAATGGTAATTAGATGACTGCAGTACGTTTAGTTTCAAAGCTGACATCCACCAAGTGCAAAAATAGAATTGCCTGATTGATATTCCAGAGCTTAACAGAACCGTCATCACTCCCGCTGGCCAACATTGTTGGATCTGCTAATGAGAAGTCGACAGACCACACGCGCCTTTCATGCTCTCTCATTTCCATAAAAACTTGACTTCTTGTAACATCCCATACCTGAAGATATGTTAGATAAACCACTTATTGTCATTACAAAATACAGAAAGCGTATAAGTAAATGAGATGAAAGGCTTGACCTACCTGCACCACACCTTCAAAGTTACTAGAAGCAATCTGGCTTTTGATATAACTATTCCAACATATACTGCTCAGCTTTGACCTACTGACCAATTCAACTACAGGATAATGGATATCACGATCTTCATTCAAAATTGTGCCATATTCAAATATTTTGATCTTCTTATTCACGCCAGCAGTCGCAAAAAATTCGCCATCGCGATCGAAACTCAGAGAACATACTAGATTGGAGGTATTTAAAAGATCCCCTTGCTTCAAATCTGCTTTAACTTTTAATTTACTGAAAGACAGATACTTGCACAACCCCTCGAGGAATGAATTTATCCATCCACTTTGTCTAGCTTCACTAAACTGGTCATTCAAGGGCAAATTATTGACAGAACTTCTTTCAGTAACAACAATGGACCCTCTACCATCACTGCTTACTGGAGACTGTCGAGTTAACGATTTCCCTGTTGGCTTTACAGGCCTTTGTCTTGTCAAAAAATAAGCTGACTCCAGTTTCTTAAAGTTCTTCATCAATCGAGAACTTTTTGAGAGAATACTTCCTTGATTCTCAGCTGGAGCTTCTGAATTCTGACCTTCATGTAGATGACCACCATATTCCGATGCATTATGACTCTGAAGCCCTTGTCTGTACCTCTTTCTAGACCCCGAGCAACTAGAATCTTCATTTTCAACAAATTCCATTGAAGGGGGACCAGAAGCAGAATCCTTGCCCAGTTCTGGACAAGAGCACCCTTTTCCCCAAAGAATTGACTGCTGCTTTGAAACTTCATCTATATCAGAAGATACAAGGGAAATTGTATCTTGCAACTTATCTGCAGCTTCCTGTTTTCTTTGTTGTATCAGCAAAAGGCATTCCAGCAACAACTCCTGCTCCTCTATTCCCTCCCGAAGCTCTATTGCTGCTTCACGTTCTTCTATATTCTCTCTTGGTTCATTCAGAAAGTTACTTTGTAACAACTCACTGATGTACATGGTAAGAGAAAATGAAAGAAAAACTATCCAATCCCATGTGCAACCTCTCAAGAAATTGATACATTAATTCTATGAATAAAAAGTACAACATATATAAAATACCTCAAGTAGCATGTGAAGAAGTAGAAAGGAAAAAAAATCCCAACAAATTGAGAGAGCCAACAACTATTGGAAGCCCTTCCCATTACTTCAAAAAGAGAAGAAAAAAAAATGCTTACCACTTATTGCTAGTAATTTTGTACTAATAAGCTTGATTGCTTCAAATCGCTTATATAAGCACATTAATTGTTCAGGCAATGATAATAAGAACAGAACAAAATATAGCAGCACTCTCAACCCATGCCATGATAATTTATATATGTGCACATACATGTATGTATTTATAGATATATACCTTCACATTTGTGTGGCCGGTGAATGAGTGAAGAGGACTGTCAAGAACCCGGGATGAGGCCATTGACAAATCCCAAAGCTTCAGTGTGTTGTCTGTCGATGCAGAAACAAGATTTGTTGAATCTATGAACTTCACGTAGCTCACAGTTTTGTTGTGTCCAATCATTGTACACAGTGGCATTTTTGTGTTACGGAGATCATAGTAATAAATTCTATGATCCGCTGAACCAAATGCAAGGTAACGACTAGAATCAACAGGAAACTGAACACAGCAGACATTGGCCTTCGTTTTGATGGTACCAACACTTACTCCCTGCAGTAGCAACCCATGTAAGAGAAACAACTAATTATACATCCAGAATAAAATCTACACAGCAATGGTAATTAGATGACTGCAGTACGTTTAGTTTCAAAGCTGACATCCACCAAGTGCAAAAATAGAATTGCCTGATTGATATTCCAGAGCTTAACAGAACCGTCATCACTCCCGCTGGCCAACATTGTTGGATCTGCTAATGAGAAGTCG